TTTCGAAGTCGGTACCAGCCAAATCTAATATATTTCGATACGTAAAATACATATTTACCTATTAGATATTCATATCTTAAAAATTGTAGGCTGCAAAATATGTGTGTATTTAAAGTTATATATGTGTAGTGTATCAACTATCTGGTATCCATAGCACACGCCTCGTAGCTTACCATGGAACTAAATGTTAATGACCTAACATATTGATTTATTTATGAAAAGGCAAGGAAAATCAAACAAATCATTGTAAATATGGGATTATATTCTTAAGTATAAGATACAGTTGTTAACGGAATTCGGTTTAACACAATTTGTTCGACGTTAGCTAACTTACAATCGTAATCTATATATAAAATATTGGATTCGATACATAAAATATATAGCATTAATTAATTACATAGACTCATTTTGTGTGCATTAAAAGTTTTTGCACAAATATATTTAAACCAAAAAAAAAATAAGAATTATTCATTACATGCCAAAAATAATAAAAATTATCAAATTACACAATATTACAAATATAAACACAAAATTACATTTTTAGTCAATTTAAACATATTTTTCCATTAGAATAAAGAAAAATTAAAAAAAAAAACATTTGTGCAAAATCCTGTACATTTAGTCTGCATTCGCTCAGATTCTACATTAAGAACACCTGCCACAGACAATTTAAGGCTATAATTTAGAATCAGAGCGGCAAAACTATATAATCTTTAATATTATCAATTAATTTTTTTTAATAATTCTATCAGGCGATACATTTATTACAACAATTACTAAATTAGATTCTACATAAAGCAAAGCTATTATTAAACTTCAAATATTTTCAATTAACATTTTTAATATTAAAATCATTCATTCAGTCTCCACTAGCGCCATATTTAGTCTGTCTCATTTAACGTCAAAGATCATATTCATTCATCGATGAAAAAAGTACTAGATACACAATCAGCAACCAAAAATGTCCTTACTAAATGAGCATTAAAACATTTGAGCGCGCTTTCAACTTTTTTTTTGTGAAAACAACTTTAAGCGTTGCATTTAAGGTTTAATTTACATTGTTGTATATTTATTTCAATTAGTATAACTACCTAAACACAATCGGTGACAGTTTTAAGAGAACTTTTGCATGGGATTGTGTATCTAGTACTTTTTTGATCGATGATTTCATTTATCAAATTTATAAGTTTTCCTAGTCAAAGAAAAAGCACGCGAACGTTAAGTTAACTGACATCATGTGGGTAGGTATATATGTAAATTACTCTACGAATCGCTACATTTATTCTTACAAATGGGGACCTACTATTCGACTATATTTTACGTAATATTGACTGAGAGGCGAAAATAAAAATAAAACGGAGTTCTTAAAATAGGTATATTAAATATTTATATATTTTATTTTGGCGTGACGTTCAACAAGCTTCATTGAACTTTTACATAAAATGTGACATGTATACACATATATAAAGGGCCTTAGCATATTTTTCTATAACATTAAATTGGTCTCTTACACAGTGTTTAAGGAAACTTAGATTTGTAACTAGATATTGGCGCTATAAACACTACGTGTTAAAAATGAGAGCAATAATATTGATGAATACAAGCGTCTTGTAATTTTTATAAAGACATTAACAATACTGAACCCTTATTTTATTTTAGTATTACCTATATAAGATGACGTCACACCAAAAACTACAGTGTCACGAATCGTTAATTCAAAGCGAACGATTGAAAAATGACAAATATACTAATGTATATGAAAAAATATTTGAGATTTAAAGATCGCAGAATATGTTTTCAATAATATAATCATCGATCAAAAAAGCACTAGATACACAATCAGCCACAAAAAATGTCCTCACCGAATGAGCGCTCATTTGAACATTTGAGCGCGGTTTTTTTTGTAAAAACAAATTTAAGCGTTGCATTTAAGGTTCAATTTACATGGTTGTAAATTTATTTGAACTACAATAATAACCTAAACACAATTGGTGAGTTTTAAGAGAACTTTTGCATGGGATTGTGTATCTAGTACTTTTTTTATCGATGAATATAATATATAGAATTTTGTGACAGATCACTCTTAGCCAGGTAACTATTTAGCATCGTCATACTCACTAAAACCTTTGGAGAATAATTATATCAATGTAATTTTTTAACCCTAATTTTACTGCAAAAATTACAGAAAAACGCAGATTTAATACTTTTTTAATCAAATACTATTTGAAAAAACTGATCATATATCGATGCTTGTTAAAGACCAAAAAATATAATACTAAAATACATTATTTAATATTACAATATCTTCAAACGTCATGTGCGATTAATTCCCTTTTAAAATAATTTTCCCAATAGAAAGAAACATGACAAATTAAAATAGCATTCAATAGCTATCTAACAATTACGAGAAACGTCCACAAATCATTTTATAACTTTCGACTTTACCACATCGAAAATAAAATAATATATACCAACTGTATTATAACTGTGACACTTTGAAGTTTTTACTACCGATACGCGAGTTTATTTGCACGATTAGTACTATCACGTCTAGAATATTCGATAAAAATATTAAAGTGGCTTAATTATAATACATATACATAATATGTATTTTATATAGATAAATGTTAAACTATAATGTACGTATCTCATATCGAACCTACGACCTCTGTCTTAGTGAACAATTAATGTTGACACCGCACCGTATTTATGTCGTTATATAAAATATAACAAATTAAAGCTTTCTAGTCAAATGATACAAAAAGCACGTTAAAGCATGTCAATGCAATGACAAACTTACATTTCAATAGAAAAAAAATCTAAATTAAGTAAGTACATTAGATATAATGGTAAAAAAATAAATAAATAGAGAAATTATAATAACACTTTCACATATTGAATTCTCCTGGCGAAATGTACTAACTTAAATACAAAAAAAAAGGTTTGACAAAATGACAAATGAATTTTGGTATTTTTTGGTTTAACACTGTTTGCTATATATTAATGCAATTGTTGGGTTTTGTGACATAAAGGTTCATTTACAATGCTTATTATGGCTTGTTATTGTTAATTATATTAAGTATTTTAGTTTAGAATTGCAAAATAGAATATATTCCGCGTGCATTAACGAGGAAATAAAAATTGGTGCTAATAACTCGTCACACTGTTGTTTCCACTTTGTTCCCACGATTCACGCACGGTATACATATACTATATTACAAATTAATTTACACCGCATAATCAAAGCTGTGTTGATATTTTCTTTACAATCAACGTTTATTCATTGGTAATATGCACCGATCAAAAAAGTACGAAATGCACAATTAGCGACAAAAAATGTCCTCGTCGAATGAGCGCTCATTTGAACATTTGAGCGCAATTTTAACATTTTTTTTTGTGAAAACAACCTTAATTTTGAGGTTCAATTTACATTGTTGTATATTTATTTCAACTAGAATAATTACTCAAACACAATTGGTGACAGTTTTAAGAGAACTTTTGAATGGGATTGTGTATCTAGTACATTTTTGATTGATGGTAATATGGGCATAAAACCACGCATTTTGGGAAGGCCAACTTAATATAGTTAAGTAAGTATATCAAAACCATTTAATTTTATTTATATTAAATCATGGGATTATATAATAATATAATTTATTTCTTTGTAAATAAAAAAAATTCCAATTAATAAAGGCAAAGAAGCAAATAAAGTATAAAATAAAAGATATATTCCTGCTTGAATACGTTCAGGTTGATATCCTCAACCAATAATTAATAATAATGTAGGAATTAAACTTCTTTCAAAAAAAAAATAAAATAAAATACATAATACATAAGACACGATGTACTTTAAGACACTACTACATTCATTGAAATATAATATTCTAGGCAAAACTATATTATTTCATCGAAACATGAAAAATTTTAAAGCAGCCTCTTGAAATCTCTTTTTGCGGTATCTAATTAAACCGATTTCGATCAAATTCACTTCGATTGGAAAGTCGGTTACCACATTACTAGATGATAATATGCTTAATATTCAATGGACGTCAGACCTTTAAGAAAATGTATTCTTTTCATACGAAACAGTTAAAAGTATTATTTTAAACATTACTTTAAATTTGGGTTTTATTTATTAACCGATTTCCAAAAAGGAGGAGGTTCTATGTTCGTCTGTCGTATGTTTTGTTCTTAAACAGTTCACAAAACGGCACTCAAACTACACTCGACAGTGTGATAAAATGAGTTAGAAAAATTGATAAATGTGAAATAAATTATCGTATACTCATTAGAACCAAATCATATTTATATGAAAATGAAATAGCATTCGCTCTTAACATCAAACGTATTCGAGACATAAAATACTGGAAAAAAAGACCTAAACCTATTAGAGGAAAAACACTCATTTCCCACAAAAAATCTATTTATGCATTCGAACATTACCATTAATAGTTCAGTAAAATAGAAAAAAAAAGAAGAAAACGTCACGTTTTAAACATCAGTCGTGTTAATAAACATTATATTACATGTAATAGCGAAGCGAATATTGTGTTTAGAATATAATATTAGTCTGTAACGATATCAGATGCAAAGTGGACTTGATACCGATCGTACGTTATGATTACTTTATGGTCCAGACACGGTCCAATAAGCAAAGTCATTAAGTCTAATGCACCGGTATTTGACCGACATAGAAAATGTATATGATGTCATGAAAATTTAGTAGTAAAGCTATATAGAACATTCTGCGCAAAAACGGCCTAACTCAGAAAAAAAAAACATATTTTACATAATCAATAGACAATATGCAATTATTAATTAACTAATAATATATGCATATTATATCAAAAACTGAGTTTAGGTCAGTTTTGGCTAAGAAGTCCAAATATGAAATTTTATATGTTAAATAGGACCAAAGTTGGTCCACGACCGATATTAGCTTGCGCTGAATAAATTTCGATCTAGATTTAGACCTAGTCTAGGCCGTCTTACTTGATTTAAACAGGTGGTATGGTCCAGAGTACGGCGGTTTTGTCGGCAGAAGTTGATAAGAATGAAAAGTCGTCTGGGTGCCATCTCGCAGAGATGACCTTGTCGGGATGTCGCGCTACAGGGACGCTTGGCAGAGCGCAAGTTAAATCACCTGTGAAGAAATAAATATATTGCTTAAATTAACAGTCTTCATAACAATTACAATTATATTTACTAATATTATTAATACATTAGTCTGTTTGTGACGTGAATTTTATATTAACACGCTTTTATTAGGATCATTTCTAACTCACCGACTATCGACTACGTAGTAATCTTGGGCGTCAATTTTGAATTACTTTTAGCTGTCGTGTAGATTTAAAACTATATACGTATGTGAAATCTGGCTAATACTTATTAAATTACATCTACACTAATATCATAAACAAGAAAGATTAGTATTTTTGTATGTTTGTAACGTATTAACTCAAATACTACTGGACCGATTTAGATGAAATTTGGTAAGAAGATAGTTTGAGACCCCGGGAAGGACATAGGATACTTTTTAATCCGGATATCATCCCTTACAGGGGTGAAAATGTGGAAGAAAGTTTATATGGGGAATCAACCTAGGCATGAACCTGAGCGAAGCGAGTGTGAGTCGCTAGTACAAAATAATTATAGTACAATTATTTGTTTCAATCGAATTGGTCTGATGGTGAAACCCTATAGTTTCTCTTCAGTGACTACTACTAAAATCTAACTTGGGCTCATTTCATTCGTTTTGACGAACATTATACGTGTGTTTTTTCAAAGCTTTTTAAATGTTTGAGAAAAATTAAATGGCACTACTAAATTAACTACCGAATATATGTCAATCTCATGTGATGTTATTATTAATACATTATATAAAGTTTTATTGTACGAGCTCAATTTCACATTTTGCTTGCTTTTTATAAATATGTAGATTATACTATAAGCCTCATTTTAAGCACAGTGGGATTAATATATTTCTGAAATCAATTTATTTTATTTTAATGCAATACTAGTGACGATGCAATGTTTTAAAACTACTTGTTATTTTTAATCGGCTTATTAAATGTCGTGTATTGGTTATAGTGGTTCATTGGATGTATTTTTTGACATTATAGATTTAGTCCAGTAGCCAAATTAGATTCTTTAGAAATTACTTGTGCGTCTGTCTGTTAGTGTAATGTGCATCACTAATTTTCATTTCAATTATGTAGTTTGTCTAGACAAAAATCTAAGTGGACAGAATTGCGCACATATTATAAATTAACGACTCACCCTCACTCAGCTCGGGTTCGTCCCTACTTACGTTTTAACGTTTAGTTTAGTATAGATTTCTCAGAGATGAGATATTTTCCCACAATAAAAAGTATCCTTAAAATTGAGCCGGATAACCAGGTATCACCATACCAAATTTCATCCAAATCCGTCCAGTCGTTTTCTCGTGATGCGTTCCAAGACAGACATACCAGACTGACAAAAATTCTAAAAATTATACAAACGGCTTGGGTATCGATAATAATGACTATAGCATACACAGATTTGGCTCAGTTAGAATTTCATCATATGTATAGATGACATTTTTTTTATTTATCATTTCCTTGGTTTACCAACATGAGTTAGGAGAGTATTGTAGGCAAATCTTAGAACGAATGATCCACGCAAAACGAGGGCGAGTCACTAGTTTTGAAAGTTACCTTTAATACCACTAGTATAAACTTCCATTTAATAAAACCTTATACGCTTAGGATATAAAATCTTGTTAATTCTTTAGGTAATAAAATGTTTACGATTGCAGGAGTAAATAACATATGTCATCTTTTACACTCTAATAACTTTGATATGGAACAATAAGATCTATATACGTGGTTTTGGTGTTATTTTATTTGGCAATAAGTAACGTTGTATACGTTTTATTATAATATTCTTTGTACAAGTCAATTTCATAGTAATAAGATTTACCTGTTATTATTTTATTCTATATCTATATTTTGTTCTATATACATATAAAAAATCTGAGTCGAATCTGTACATTAAATTTGTTTTTTTAGGAAATCTTATTGAAATAGTCACTATTATCGATATAGAGGCCGAATCTATAAATTTCAGAATTTTTGTCTACATGTGTGTCTGAGGCTGTGGTAGCACAGTGGTAACGCGCTCGCTTCGGAAACCGAGTGAAGCGAGTACAAATCCCGGATCCCGCACCTGTGATATTTTCATGTGCAGATCATTTCCAATATGATTACAACTTGTCTAAACGGTGAATGTAAACATCATCAGAAAACCTAGCAAGTTTTCAAAAGAAGTATGATGAAGTCCGCCAACCCGCACTTGGCCACCGTGGTGGTCTATGACCTGATTCCCATCGTACTGAAGGGATTCCCGTGCCCAGCAGTGGGACGTTAAAAAGGGCATCACGAAAAAACCACTGGACAGATTTTGATGAAATTTGGTATGATTATTATAGCAGGTTATCCGGGTCAACATACAGGATACTTTTTACTCTAGGAAAATATCACATCTCGAAGAAATCTATACTAAACGTTAAAACGTCACTAGGGATGAAACCGAGCGAAGCGAGGGTGACTCGCTAGTTGTTTTAATAAATTACATATTCTATACACCTTTTTATTCAAACTGCGCAGGTGAAATGATTGTCAATATTTAGCCATCGAATTTAATTCCGACTGTACGCATTAGTGCGAGTCGGCGAATACTTGGGGGCAGACACGCTTTTTGGAGACTCTACATAATACATTTTACATTTTCATCATTTGATTTTGCCTGTTTCGTTTATTTGGTCTTAAAAAGAAAATTAAATTACAAAAACGAAAAACCCGACGTCGTAAAAAGCGTTCTAAAAAGATGGACATAAATCGACGTACATACGACGACGACATAGGAACATAGTATTATGCAGTAGTTAACATACATATATAGCAAGACTAGCAGCAAGCGTAATACATAATTATATATATAATACATATATAGAATGTTGAGACGATGCGAGTCGCCTTTACACGCTCATGTCCAAATTCCCGTTGTCTCGAATGTGCAGAGCTGCCGTAAGCCACTGGCTTACCGTGGCAGCTTTAAGAGTAAACTAAATTATAATATCTTGACACTTGACAGTTTTATATTCTACTAGCGACTCACCGTCGCTCCGCTCGTATTCGTCCCTTTGTACATTTTAACGGTCCGTATAAGTTTTAAAGCGATGAGATATTTTCTCGCAGTAAAAAGTATCCTATATGTTGATCCAGATAACCAGCTATCATACTAAATTTTATCAAAATCAGTCCAGTGGTTTTTTCGTGATGCATTTCTATACAGACAAACATATATAATAATGACTTTTTCAATAATATTTTCCAAAAAATATTTAATGTATAAGATTCGATTCAGTTAGAATTTCATTACTTGTATAAGTTTTTAGATTTGAATTGTGCAAGTTATTACGAGGGCTTAATTTGAATAAAAGCCAAATAAACTTTAATAGTTTTATTCGTCTAAGACGTTTTATTATATCTGTATTTCGTTTAAATGTCACTCTATTACAATAAAAATAGAGAACGATTTTATATTTTTAAATTACATTGTTTTAGTTTAATTTCAAATAAAGTCACTAAAAACTGTTTAAGAAAAGAAATATATTTTAACTAGATGTATTTTTAATTAAACAATAAATATTAAAAAAAAACAACCGGCCGTTCTCAAGCGATGCGTTAACCCAACGAACGGCATTTCATTTATAAAGAAGACTAACATTTCACCCTCGCTCCGCTCGCGTTCGTCCCTAGTTACTTTTAACGTTTAGTATAGACTTCTCAGAGATGAGATATTTTCCTGCACTAAAAAGTATCCTATATGTCATCCCGGATAACCAGCTTTCATAACACCAAATTTCATCAAAATCGGTCCAGTAATTTTCTCGTGATGCATTCCCAGACAGACCGAGAGACAAAAATTCTAAAAACTATAGATTCTGCCTCTGTATCGATAATAATGACTATTACAAAAATATTTTAGAAAACATATTTAATATACAGATTCGTCTCAGAATTTTAATATATGTATAGATAATTGACTAAAATACAAATCCAAACCTTAGTTACACCTAATGAAATATTTCTAGAAAAATACATAGCAAACAATAAAAAAATTTCGCAATATTTCAACATGTAATAGGCCTAATAACAAAACGACAAGTATAAAGTGTCCCACAAAATTGCGTACAAATAAAAACTGAAGCGGCCGTCAAGACACAGCGCTTATCTTAACCGGCCAGTCATGTCACGTAGGGTTTGTTTTGTGTATACTGTATTGTTACAGCGAGATTACTCTGCCAATCTGTCTGTTGTTTATGACATGGCAAAATTATGACATTAGTAAGGATTATATGGATGATACTGGCCGACTCGCCCTCGCTTTGCTCGCTAGGTATATATAGGTATGGTGAGTTGTTGTGGGTTGTATTATAACGTGTTTTGCCGTGGGAATGAGATAATCTCCCGCGAAAAAAGTAGCCTATGTCACTCTCCAGCCCTCCAACTATCTCCACACAAAATACTACGCCATTCCTCTCTCTGTTTCGACGTGAAAGAAGGACAGACAAACAAACACACTTTTACATTTATAATATTAAGTATGAATATGGATTATGACAAGCATTCAAGTTGTTAACTTCGAAAAAAAAGTAATTTACAAAAAAAATAATAACAAAAATTTAGATTTTTTACAGAGTCGCTGAGTAAAACATACGACTCGATGTATAAAAAATATTTATGAAGGTCAAAATTTATCAAAAAAATAATTGAAACAAAATTTTTACGTCGTTATTAAACAAATAATGTGTTTTGAGTTTTGATTCACCTAATTTTATGTAAATGTAATAATATGTCGCAATATCCCCATTATATATTTATTTTAATAAAATCATCGAATCATTCATAGTACAAAAAAAATGTAATAAAAGCCTTGCATATGTCTAAAATACCTAGCCGTTTTATAAAAAATATACGATATTTATTATAAAACAACCGATAAAGTTTAATAGTTAAAAAAACAGATATAGCAACATTGATCATTTAAAGGATGTTTTTGACAAAAAACATAACTTGCACATTGCAATGTACCAAAAGTTAAATCATAAAAGTAATTAATGAACACCAACACAAACGACGCGCGGTAGAAATCCCTCAAATTAATTTTCATAAAACAAATTGAGCTCGTGATATTTTAAGTTTTTAATACAATATATTATGTACTATTACGTACATCCATATTTAATATTATAAATGTGAAAGTGAGTTTGTTTGTTTGTCCCACATTTATTGATCCCACTTATAGACGAATCAGTTTTCCTAAACTGAAAGAAAAATTCAAACCCTAACAACGGTAATCTTTATATATATATAATTCTTCTGTGAGTGTGTATGTCACTGAACTTCTCTCAAACGACTGGACCGATTTTGATGAATTTTTTTGTGTGTGTTCAAGGGGATCTGGGAATGGTTTAGATTCACAATTTGAATAATAATTTTCATCAAAATGGTCCAGAATGTTTTAGCTTATTAAAAAAAGTTTGAAATTTTCAAATTAAAGACGTGTAGACAGGACAACGTCTGTCGGGTCAGCTAGTAGATATGTAAAAATTTAATAGTAAAATTCTAATATAGTGTTCCATTACCTTATAGATTTAAATCATTTATGACACAAAAGCTAAGAATACGAATAACTTCAAATATGGTAAGCCTTATCTCTGCGGTACAGTTAGTGCAGCGCCGTGTTAGTTTTGTGCGAGTTTATTACACTACGTAGGTATATTAGTCTGTCAATCATGATCACCCTAATTTATGGCGAGATAATGGAGCGTGATTCAATTAATCACGTCATTGTTGCACTATAGGTATTTATGAGTATAACGCATATAGTAAGAGGAGGGAAAAATTGAAAATATGTTTAGGTTCTCTTGTCCTTTAAAAGAAGTCAAGTTTTGGTTATTTTATTTGGTTATTAGGAATTTTAATTAAATCTATCTTATTATACAACAGGTAGAAGTTTAAAACCTAACAATCTCATCTAGCTTAGCATAGCTTAACCACGATACAATTATTATAATACAACCATACTAATATTCTTTATTATAGCGGCTCACTCTCGCTTCGCTCCGGTTCGCCTCTAGACAAACAAAAATAAATCTATCCCACGGGAACCGCACATTTTTCCGAGATAAAAAGTAGCCTATTTGTTATTCTGATGTATGAACTATATTATTGTAAAGTTTCATTAAAATCGGTTCCACAGTTTCAAAAATTAGCCCGTACAAACAGACAAACAGCAGATAGAGCAATAAAAAATTTTGAAAAAATCTGAATTTCTTCTATTTCTCTTCTTACATCCCCTTGACTCGGCTTTTAGCATTTTTTTTCTATGTACAGACATTCGACCTCTATAGTTTTATTATATGTATAGACGTGAAAGTGTGTTTGTTTGTTATATTTTTACTCTTTATGACATCAGTTATCTGCCGGTCAAAATCGGTCCAGCCATTTCGGTTATTAGCCGGAACAAACAGACGGAGAAAAAAAATTCAAAACTGTTTTTTTTTTCCTATAAGTAGGAAGGTACTTTCACGTGTATTTATTAAAAAGCTATTATTTTGACATTACAGACAGACACTTCAATTTTATTCATATACATACATATACAGGGTCATTTTTAATTTACTGAAAACCTTTTGGAAATATATTGTTTACATCATAACAATAACATCTGTAAGAAAAAAAAATATCTCTTAAATTTTACAAAAATAAAAATATTTTTATTGCTCCTTCTAAACGGTAATAGTCCAGCATTAGCAAAAGAAAGCGCGTGACCAGTGGAGGGGGAGGGTGTAGGAAGTGGCCCTTCCTCCTTTAAACTTGGCCAGATGCTAGAACTTTTAGAAGGTGCAATAAAAATATTTTTATTTTTGTATGAAAATAAAAATTTAAGAAATATATTTTTTTCTTGTTACATATGTTATTGTTATGATGTAAATAGTATATTCCCAAAAGGTTTTCAGTAAATTAAAAATGACTCTGTATATAAAAAGCAAACTCACCTTGCAGATCAGTGAGCACGACCCGTCCATCATATCCCGCGGTAAGGAGATAGTAGGCTCCGGGGGAGAAGCGTACACTGCGTACGTCGCTCGAGTGTGGTGTGAAACGTTGCAACGCTCTGGACCCACGCACGTCGTGTAACGCACACGAACCGTCATCGTGACCACATACTAGCAGACGACCCGATGGATCCACTGCCAGGGAAGCCACCGCTGAGCCCTAGATGATAATAGATGTATGTAAATTTCTACACTGTGGTAAACAACAGGGAATATGCGTTATTTCAATTTCGTCAAATAATTTTTTATACAATAACTAAAATCATTCATATTATATAATTGTAAAAAAAATATCCAGACCCCAAAAAAACTAACATTTAGTATAAAAAAAATGTCATACCGATACGGATACTTTATACGCCCACCATATCGCGCGCTTGGCGTGACGTCACAGTATCATACATAGAAAAATAAAGACTTTAGTTTGTAGCGAACAAAATCGCTAATCGCTCTGCTATGATAATACTTTGACGTCATATTCGGTCTGACCAATGGCGTGAGTTCCAACTACTTTGAATTTTCCGGTTTAATAATTATTTTTTTAATCAAAAAGAAATTATAATAAAAAATATTGAAATAGCAATAAAGATTATAAAAAATATTTCAACTTTATTTAAATTACACGCATATTTCCTATTGCGTAAATATGTAAATATATTACTTTATTTCATACTAGCGTTTGAAGGAGTGAGTGGAGTGTATACATTATAAATGTAAAAATAAGCATGTATGTGTGTATATCTGTTACTCAGTCACGCTCACACGGCTGCACAGATTTTGATGAAATTTAGTGTACAGCTTGATTAAGAGCTAGAGTAATACAAAAACTCTCACTCAGTTCTTAAGAACAGGGGTTTTTTTTAATGTAAGTAATCGTTTTATAGTTTAGCGCGTTCAAATGAACAAAAACTAAGTCCTTCGAAGAAAACTAATGTAATATATATATATATATATATATATATATATATATATATATATATATATATAAATCTCTTTAAAAAATATATAATAACTCAAAAGAAAAGTTCAAAACTTAAAATGGACTTATACAGCTATCGTAAATAACAGAACCGAGCACAAACGTTCTATTAAAATTTCACATTTTTCATTCAATAAATTATGGTTACGAGTTATGTGATTGATTTATATCAGAATTCTCATTTGAAGAACAGCAATAAAGAATTCCGCTGACGAACTAACATTGAAAGTTTCCTTTACGACTCCTCCAATATCAGAGGTACCGCGTGAAAAATAAAACTTGTTATTCAAAACACTTGAAGAGTCTGATCGCTATATTATATATATATATATATATATATATATATATATATATATATATATATATATATATATATATATATCTATAAAATGATGACTCAAATTGGGCCAAATAATAAAAAGTTAATAAAAATTAAATGTAAAATATCTTATGTAATACAATTAGCAAATATTCAAAGATATTTACTTTGTTTTGTTTTACGTAGATACTCGTAATTATCCAAAATTACTTATTAAAGTCACTCTTGCTTTACGAGTATTCAATCTACGTTAACTTATTATTAAAAGGAATCTAAACTAAAATAACAAAATGAAAAATCATTAGACTTTCCACTAAAATATAAATATGAAAATAAGTAAATGAAAGAACGAGTGAATGTACTTGATACTTCTTCAAGGCATAACAGTCTAAATAGTTAAGTAAAATTAGTAATGGAAATAGCTTATATCATAGATATTGATACTTCATATAGGCACCTACACCTTTAGCTACAATGGACCAAAACTGGTCGACGTAGCTAGGGCCGACCTCGGCACCACACCCAACATAATAATAATAGGCATCTACCTCGTGAGCATAGCCGTGGGCAAAAATAAGTACTAAGGAATATAATATAAAATATTATCTTACCTTGCTAGCATGTCCTGTGGGTGGGGAGATGACGTTAACACAGCCTCCCGTACGGAGATCCCAAAAGCGTACAGTCTTATCCTGACTGCCGGAGACGAACATCGCACCGCCCCAGTTGTATAGCGACAGAACATGACCAGAATGCCCGCTCAGTGCCTGATAGAAAAAGATAAAATCGAAATATAACTAACTAGCGACTCACACTCGCTTCGCTCGGGTGCGTCCCTAGCTTGCTTCCCAATACATACTTTCATCCCCATTGTCACCCCATTAAGGGATGATTTTCGGGATAAAAAGTTCAAAATTTCATCTAAATCGGTTCAGTAGATCCAGAGATTACCCCCTATAAAGTCACAAACTCACAAACTTTACCTCTTTATAATATTAGTATAGATTAGCGACTTCAGTCTTCATTACATCTGATGATATTTAGATTGAACACTAATATTATGGACAATACATATTTATTGTATAACTGTTTGTATACTAATTGTATTTATTGTGTAACTCGTGTTCGTCCCTAGTTACGTGACGTTTAGTATAGATTTCTCAGAGATGAGATATTTTCCCGCAGTAAAAAGTATCCTATATGTTGTCTCGGACAACCAGTTATAATATCAAATTTCATCAAATCTGTCCAGTATTTTTGTCGTGATACGTTCCCAGGCAATCAGATAGACAGACGAAAATTCTAAAAACTATTCGGCGTCTGTATCGATAATAATGACTATTTCAATAAAAAAACCCCAAAATATATTTAATGTACAGATTCGACTCGGTTAGAATTTTATTATGTATTATATAGATAGATATCTTTAAGACAAATGCGACAGGGTATAGAAATAATAAGATATAATAAGGAAAATAAGGCGAGCGAAGCCGTGGGTTCTGCTAGTAGGTATATAATAAAAAAAAAAACATTTTCTAGCATTTTTGCGTCTGTTATTCATGAATCTATTTTTGAAAATACATATATACATAAATTATTACACACATTGATATATGGGATATAAAAAATAATATATTATTCAAAATATAAATTAATCAATACGAAAGTTATTTATTTGAACAAGCAGTATGCCCGATGGGATTTCCCAGAGGCAATATAAACAAAAGCTTCAAGTACCAATTTCCATATTTCTAACTTCAAAAATGATGAATTTCTATACAAAATTTTATACCTCATTATATCCTTTTTGGGATTCAAAATCTTTTCTTAGTAGCTCACTTTTATTATTATATAATGAACTCATGTAACGCATCTCAAGCTTCTACCGAGGGATGTTATTAAGCAGTCTGTCATTGTTAGTTTAATGTAGTACCATGCGACCGAGCTTCTCTCGGCGTTTTTCGGTACAGATATAAAAAATACGTTTAATCAAAAAGTACACTTATATAATAAATTAATAAATAAATATGTTGGGACATTAACACACAGCGCCATCTAGTTCCACGGTAAGCTACAAAACGTTGATAAACTACACATATATAACTTTAAATACATACATATTATAAATATAAACACCGATGACTAGAGTACAAACATTCGTGCTCATCACACAAATTAATGCCCCCAGCGGGACTCGAACTCGCGACCGCTGGCACAGCAAGTAGGGTCACTACAAACTGAGACAAACGTCTCATCCAAATATAGATAAAAAAAGCAAAACCTTATAAACAAAATTTGATCCTATTCGTTAGGGTTGTTTGCGAGATACACAAAATAAATTTATATACGTATATGTATACTAGATATGCTCATTTGATAAAAACTATGATTTAGACAATTACAAACTAAAACCTAACACTACACGATTGTGATCCGAAGACAAAAAATAAAACAACGTTCTAATATTTCATCTAACAACTCGACTAACAAGTTGGAGTATCATCGCATTAGCCATATCTGATTTCGGTAACAAAATCTCCTTAGGCCAAATTCTAATTTATAGCCGACCGACTTTAAAACGACAACTTTTTTAATTGGATTTAATAATCCTTGCAAAAATTATTATTGCGAATCTTTTTTTTTGTCTGTTCATCCGTATATTACGCACAACCAGTTCCGTCTTTACCATAAGGGCTCAAGGGTGCCTAAGATGCCTAGAGCCCCCAACATCACAGGGGCCTTGAAAAGATAACATTTTCGTTTACATGGGAAAGAGAGAACTTTTAATGTTTTAGTCTTTAATACCCTGCACTTTATATAATAGACTGCATAGTATTGTTTATACGGCAACTTGTTCCCATTTTTTAGTTCACTTCACTACCTCATCGTGTTTTATTTGTAATTTACTTGAATTTTTTTATCATTAATTTTTTTTTTACCTACTAATAGGGCCCAAAATTTTTGTGCTAAATTTGTGTATCAAGGGCCTCCGCAGTCCGCATTAACTGCGCACAACACAATGAATGGACAAGACTTTTTGCATATACGTATGTATGTAGATAATATATTAGATTCCGTTATACTTTTTATATAAATATACATATATGCGTATAGCGTATCTATACATATAATAAAAACAGTAAGTTTGCGAAATATGTACATGAAATATTAAAAAAAAGAAATACTGTAGCGTATTGTGTACGGAATAAAGACCCCAAAACAATAGGTACTAAATTTTTTGTGTCTGTTTGTGTGTTCGCGTTTCAGGCAAAAATTCATTGACCGATTTTGACTAAATTTTCCGTCCTACGTCATCCGTTCCCCTAAAGAGTTCTTAGAAATTTATATGTTCAACGCTGGCTAAACCTTAAGAGATAAATGAAAACAACTTAAAAATTTATTTAAATTAGGTCTTAATAAGGCTTAAGGAAAAATCTGCAATGGGATAAGTCTTTTTCCTAAGGTACACTTACACTACAAGGCAATAACTCTAAAAATATAAAAATACAAAATATCTTACTTGATATAAGAAACTAAAAAGAATATTATGTTATATTTTTGTTTGAATTTGATATTATTAAATAAATAATTAGAAGAAATATACCAGTTCAAATCATTTTCATGATTCCGGAAAACATTTACATTGTTTCTCTTTTCATCGTAATGTAAGATAATTTGTTGTTTATAGTATATAGGTATTGTTTTGTGTATAAAAATAACAAAAAAAAAACACCCTTGAGGGGTATGTATATAGGATGATATTTCTAACCCTCGCTTTGATCGTGAAGCTTACCACAATAAATTAGTGAAAACCGCACCTAAATCGGTTAAGCCGTTTCTGAGATTAGCGCGAACAAACGCACAGACAAACCAAAAATAGAAGTATAGATTTATATTTTTAAGTCTAAACTCTAAACTGTAAGCTAAAATTATTTTCCACAGTGATTATTCACTTTAAAATCCTACTTTCTTACCTGGAAAGTTTTTCCTGTAGCGCAATCAGTGACATATATTTTGCAATCACCTGCACCGCCACTCACGAGGAGGCTGGTCTTATTTGACGTATCTTCTATGAAGCAAACATCACGAACGGTACCATCGTGCATTGTGAGTTCTACCTGTTACATGACAAAATAATAATAAATTAAAATAACTTATTTTATTGATTACAATAATTAAATACTATTATTGCAAACGTTTTAGTCGTAAGTATATTATAGGCTCTATATTATGGTGGGACTCCTCATTCTTTTTGCAGACGAAATATATTTTTTTAACGTACACTAGTATTAAGGCAGTTGTAGCCCAGTGGTAAAGCCCTCGCTTGGGAAACTGAGTGAAGCGAATTCAAATCCCGGGTCTCACACCTCTGATATTTTCATGTGCGAATCATTTCTAACATAATTACCACTTGCCTTACGGTGAATGAAAACATCGTGAGGAAACCTGCATGTCTGAGAGAACCTAGCAAGTTTTCGAAAGACATGTGAAGTCCGCCAACCCGCACTTGGCCAGCGTGGTGGACTACGGCCTGATCCCCCTCATATCGAAGGGAGGCCCGTACCCAGCAGTGGGACGTTAAAAAGGGCTGAATACATACACGGTTTTCTCGTGAGACAGGCAGACAGGCGAAATTTCCAAAAACTATAGATTAGGCCTCTGTATCGAGAATAATGACTATTTCAATAAGATTTTCCAAAAAATATTTAATATACGGATGCGACTCAGAATTTTATTATATGTTATAGACTTAATTTGGATATGTGATACCAATTAATCGACTAACGAATATTTATATAGATTTCATGATACAATATTTATATAATTTAAAAGTAATTTTATATATCATTATCTTATTGCAGACGAGATATTATGTATGTATGTATAACCTTATCTTAATATATACATATCAAAAACTATGAATTTACTTGCATAAATATATAGCAGTATCATTAAAATTTCACATTGGAATATAGATCAAATGAAAATATACTTTATTCAAATAGACTTTTACAAGCACTTTTGAATTGTCAATTATACATTTTTTTTTACATTAAATCAGTGTAGACAGTCCGTGAGAAATCTACCACTGGCTCGGAAGGCAGTTCTGCTGAGAAGAACCCGAGAGCAATTCAACAGTTGCTCTTTTTAAATATAACTACGAAATACTTTCTTAGATTTACGCGAATGTTTGACATTATTAAATAAAACTATCTTTTCGGATTATTTCGCGGATTTATTTTGATTTTTGGTTCCCGACGTTTTTGGGAACCAAAAATCAAAATAAATCCGCGAAATAATCCGAAAAGATAGTTTTATTTTATAACTACGAATATAATCTATACATATAATAAAATTGTAACTAAGTCGAATCTGTACATTAAATATATTTTGGAAAATCTAATTGAAATAGACATTATTATCGATACAGAGTCCGAATCTATAGTTTTTAGAACTTTTGTCTGTCTGTCTGGAGAAAACCACTGGACAGATTTTGATGAAATTTGGTATGATGATACCTGGTTATCTGGGTCAACTTATAGGATACCTTTTACACACCTTTTCCCATAAAAAACTTATTCACTTTTTGATGACGAAAGCTTGGCGTTATTAGTTTGTACCTACTTATTTCTAGTATTTACTATTATGTCTATCACTGTTTCTTAAATAACAACGGACGTTTTATCGAACGGACATGATATTAAAATTTACATATTTATTGAGATGCTCCCACCCGTAAGTATACAAATTTTCTTAAAAAGTCTCCGATAAATTTCCCGAATATCTCGTTTTTGGAAAATAAATATAGTTATGCATTACCCCACAACAAAATTCATTCAGAGCATCATTAAAGTCGTAATACTTATCAGGTTAGGTATTTTGATTGTTTATAGCGAAAAATCTATACATATAAATAAACAGACAACACAAAACAGAACCTGTTCTCCTCTGTTTGTTAACCAAGTTTCTTTATTGTTTAGTAGCTAATAACGAGATTTAGTGTTATCAATAAAATGGGCGTACAGTAGGAAAATGAAATATATTTTCAATATAATATAAGCACGACTTAAATAATATAATATTCAAAAACGCGATAACGTGAGCCGTTTTCGTGAAAAATTGAATTACGTCACAAACTGAGTATGTGTGCGTATATTTTTCATTTGGGCCATTAATACGATGAATTACATTGGGAAAATGATATCGCCTTACAATTTTATAATTTATCACTGTATTTTTACGTAGCAATTCGTATTTCAATCGATGTTTTAAGACCGACACGAACCTTGACAGCTTACTAATTGGCTAAAAAATTCTTTCATTGAGGCTCAACAGAATTTTGTTTAAAACATTTTGATTAAAAAAACTCTTTAAAAAAATATTATAACAAAAACAGTGATTTAAAAAAAATGCAAGAACAAATAAAGTGAAATGCTAACTAAGAAAAAAGAAAATTTGCGACACGACGACTGAAATTTATGAACCGACCGGTAATAAAACAGATGAGAAACTTTTATACAGACTTGTATTAAAAAAAAATGATTGCAAAGTAAATTAATTAGACTCCTTGAAGGGATTCGTCAGAACTTAATTTGCCTTCTGTGGTGATTCCGATGTAATCTCGTTGAATGAATGAATCACAAATGACGATTGAATATACTTAATAATATTTTAAATGCTTCTTCATCGCCATAGTGCAAGAGTGTTCTTTAAAATATATTTCAGTTAAACTTTAACGAGCCACCTGATGTAGAGAAGGCTGTATAACAATGTTGCATTTAAAAACATTAGATAATAAAACAAAAAATAAATAAAAAACAAATAAAAATTACTTTATTTTTCCTCACACTTTCGACATGCCTATAGAACATATAGAAAAACTTATAGATAGCAAATCCATATCCATACTAATATTGTAAATGTGAAAGTGTGTTTGTTTGTTTGTCCTTCTTTCACACCAAACAGAGGAATGGATTTGCGTGGTTTTTTTTTGTGAAGATAGTTGGGAGGGCTGGAAAGTGGTATATACGAGTGTAGGCTACTTTCTACTGCGGAAGATTATCTCATACCCACGGTAAAACACGTTATAATACAACCAACAACAACTCATCATATTCTATTCGTTAAATTATAATCATTAAACCGCATTTACCGCCTACTACCGCTAGTATAATATTAATAAAGAAGTAAGGCAAAAACGATCTCATAATCTCATAGACTTGTAGCCATATACGTAGACGACATTATAGTGTACATGTGTACAAGTGTTTGCTTTATTTCTTTTACGTTCATAGTTAGTGATAGGGTAACCTGTCACTACGGGGAAGAGATTACCAATCAGCTATTATTCAAAATATTAGACCAAAAGGTAGGGGATGTAATATTTCAATAGTAATATAAAATTTGAGTTTAAAAAAAATTATATTAAAAAAGCAAAAAGCCCACCGACAATAGAAATTTGGGCTCTGCATGCACACAATAAAAAGTGCACGGAAATGATATCAGGCAATATGTGGATGGTGGAATTACAAAGAATTTCATTTTAAAATGTTGGGATTTATAGAATAAAATAGTGTTCATTTTTATAAATATATCAATTAAAAAGATCTACAAAAAATCCGCAACGGTATATATTTAACTCTACGGTACAGTCGCATTACCTACTTTTATTTATAGGCACACTAGCGACTCACCCTCGCTCTGCTCGGGTTCATCCCTAGGAACGTTTTAACGTTTAGTATATATTTCTCAGAGATGAGATGTTTTACCGTAATAAAAAGTATCCTATTTGTTGACCCGGATAACCAGTTATCACCATTCCAAATTTCATCAAAATCCCTCCAGTGGTTTTTCCGTGATGTGGTAACAGACAGACAGACAAAAAAAAAGTATAAATTCGGCCTCTGTATCGATAATAATGACTATTTCAATAAGATTTTCCAAAAAATATCTAATGTACAGATTCGGCTTAGTTAGAATTTTATTATATGTATAGATATAAAGATATAATAAACCAGTAATTTTGCGAAATTGATGTGCACGTTTCACGCAGAAATTAGTGAACCGGTTTTAATTCATTTTTTTATAGTAATAACTTATTACTCGGATCATAACTTAGGATACCTTTTACTACAGGAAAATCTTTCATTCCCACGGGAAAACACATTAACTGGTTCTATCGAGTCGTTCTTAGAAATTTACATGTCTAACGCTGGCTAAACCTTAAGAGATATATCAAAACAATGTACTGAAAATTGTACGTCTTAATAAGGCCTACAAAAAAATCTACAAAAGCAAAAGTCTTTATCCTAAGATACACTCGCAATAACTATTCACATCTATAACGTACCTAGGAACGTACCAGAGCAATGCAAGCTGACTTACACTATATTTTATATAAAAACTGAGTTATTGTCGAAAGAAAAAATAAATAAAGCTGTAAACGGACTGCACTATGTTAGAAGTAGCGTCATTTTCATGGAACAAACCTTAAAAAAAAATTAGCTGAAGGTTTCAAAAGGTTAATTTTATTTGCACTCAACTAGCTATAAAACGTGTATCTGTGAAAACACAAAGAAGCAAAATGGGGCAAATGCGACCATGTATTTATGTCACTGATGCCCGATTTCACCAACATCCCATAAGCTACCACCTACGTATGGGATCCCTAGCTTAAAAGCTCCCCCAAACTAGCCCCTAAATTAAAGTTCGTTTTATGATCGTCTGAATGTCTTATTAAACCATCCATCCGTTCACAAAAATCTATTTTTTTTATATAGTTCCATATAAACTTTTTTACTTTTAGTAAAAATGTCGCCATCTTTTTTGAATAAACGAATACCGCGAACATTAAACATAAACTAAGATACTGTTTATTTTAACAAGAAAAACTGAGCATTTAATGTCCAACAATGGGCATCGCCCTTTAATTTGATGCAGACACAGACAATAATTTTCTAAATTACTTTAATTCAAACTGAAAACTTGTCATCGGTGTATTAATTCGGTTGAACATCTATATATCTATATATACCTATATAAAAACAACGTCGGGTTTGTTACAACTTATAACTCGAGAACTGCTGGACCGATTTTTATGATTTTTGTTTTGTTGGGT